TATGTGTTTGTCCAGTCTGGAACTAACATTTAAGACTGAACACTGATCGCGCCCTCGCCTGCAGCTTGGGCATTTAGTCACGTTCTTTCTCCTGAGCAGCCAAGCATGTATTTATTAATTAATGAACCAAATGCTTGGTGAAGCTGTCATGTGTAGTGGCAAGTATTTCACTATCAACCACACAAAATGTAGCCATTCTGATTAGTTGTGAAATGGAATTACATTAATGAATGTTAACGAAAAGAAGCAGAGAAAAAGCTGTTGAAAAGTTTGGAATGAGATTCAATTTTCCTGTACCTGCTTCACTCTAGAATGTACTGCATTGACCTGGCCATCTGGAGAATTTACACTTTGTAGGCAGTGAGAGCTGCAAACTACATGCAAACTGGACATCGGCGAATTTGTTGAATGTATTCAACACATAGTACAGAACAAGTGATAATTTTAGGAGGAAAAGTCAGACACATAACTTATTACAGAGACCTGTCATACATGTACACTGTAACGAGATCTGTTCATGCATATTCATACATATATGACCTTTGTCCTGCACCTTCCTATTGTGTGTAACATGACAGCAGGACCTAAAAGCACTGTACCACCTATGTTTGTGTGATTATTTTGTCTGTGCCCTTTCTTGCTTTGTCACGTACACATGTCTATGTACTTGAGCATATTATGATTGTACATGTACATACAGATGACACTGACATTGTAAACTGAAGTATATTAAAAGCAGTGCCCCAAAGAAAAAAATACCAACAGGATTTAATTACCCCAAAACCGCGAAACTACACCTCGCAAAGGGGTGTTTTCCAGAGAAAAAGATTTAACTTTGATTTGACTCATCATCTGATGATGACAAAAATCCAGCTGCCATTGACTTACTATGCTCAGTGTAGTCTTGCTGGTGACCACTAATAGTGACTGTTTGCCAGTCTAATCTGCCCTACCCTGCCCCTTCCTCCTCTTGGTGCCACCCATTTCTTTCTCCATTAGCTCCTCCCCTTGCCAATCCTCCACCAGGCAGAAGTGAGGGTAGCAGATGGCCAGGAGCAACATTAAGGAGGGGTGTAACACATTTACTTTGTTTGGGTTACATCAACCTTAAACCTTTGGCCATCAGCTTCAGCAGCTTCAATGGGCTAGTTTTATGACTTCAGGGTTAAGTTCATGCTCCTGCCCAGATTGGTGATGAACCTCTAGGGCTGTGAACAGACAAGACACTAAACCTCACACAGTAAACTAAGCTTGCTCGACACCTTCTGTCAGAAAATAACCAGAGAGAGAATGAAGGCGTAAGAGATTTCTTCTGCTGCATATCACAATTTGATAACATTATGCCCTGGTTAATCATAAATAGATCAGGATAACAGTGAACCCCAATAACACAATCTAACTGGGGCAATCCTATGCCAAGCCAACATCCATACATGGCCAGGCGGGGATTTTTTTGACACACTTTGTGTTTTTCAAAAAACAAAAGACAACATGTGTTATTGTTGCAGCTAACCATTTTGAGTACCTCCAAAGGATCACAAAATGATCTCCTGTATCAAAAATTTCCCTCAAAATAGAGTATTCAATTATTATAGTTGAATTCAAATGGTGTCATGGCAAGACCCAACAGAATTATCCAGTGAAAATACAATTTAATTTTATTTTCAGACTTTTTTGTCCTGGTCTTGAGCACTATATTTGTTCTATTAGGATACCACTTAATATGTTTTTACAATTATTTTAATTAATTAGACTAACTACTTCAGCTCTGCTCCGATACAAGTGAGGACTTACAGGAGTCTATGTTTTTCATGATATACATGTATCCTAATTTAGATTTTTGGCAATTTGACAACAAAACAGGTTTACCAAAAAAGACATTATTTTCATTATTTGGCTTTATCATAAGTGATTTGTTATTTTGCCATAGGTATTGAAGCCATATATTGGACTTTGCAAGCTCTTCAACCTTGTACCTGTGTTATCAACATTGTAACATGGTACATTGTAGTTGAACATTGTCATTAGAACCTTATCTAACAGCAATGTCCAACTACCTCCTAACCGAAGGGTAATGGGATCCCATAACATCTGCCTCTTGGGATTCTAAAAATACAAAGGGGAATTTGTGCATGCCATTGTTGATAATGATGCTCTCTAGCAACAAGTCCATCATAAACCGACTGATCATCGTGGCTTTGACAGTTGCCGACTCCATTTTCACAGCTAACTACATGAAAGATATTCTCCAGGTCAGTTTCAAGTATTCTATCATGTGCATTATGTTTGCTTTGTTAGTTCATTCTCCATGGGTTTTGTCACAAACCTTAGAACCTCTGTTATATGGGGACAGGTGGTCTAGTACATCTGTACGCTCACAAATTTGTCCTCTCAAAAACAAAACTTGGCGTGGCAATTCTTACAAATGAAAAAGCTCAAACCCCACATCTTTATTTAATGGAAACTGATATCTTTATTCAATGAATGATTTCTTGCAATCAGACTCCAATAGAGAGAATTTCCTCCTTGCTGCTTAGAATCATGGTAAAAATGCTTTCCTCTGGGGTTTTCTCTGCAGACCAAAAAGTCGGTTCATATACATCTTCCAAGACAAGCATATCAGCCAAAGTTTTTTGTTCCCTTTCATTTTCTTCTCTCCTGTCCTGTTGAGGCAAACCCATGATTTAGCTTACTGCACCTGATAAAGCTTGCTACTCTAAAAACACGCTTGCCTCCTCTACAAATATCTGTAACAGCTGACAATGATTCTGATTATGCAACTGACTGACGGACCAATCTTGGCAGGGAATATCAGGCATCTAGAAAGTTTTCATTATTCTATCATTGCAAATCAATTCTGTGCTTAGTCCACTTTTGCTGGGCTTGAGCAGCAGTGGCTATGAACAATGTTTTTCCAAATAGTTCACTGCAATTTTTCCAACGGGATTGCTTGGTAGCCCGATACTGTTGTGGATTTTACTTAACCAGTAAAAGCCAATCTAATCACACTACAATGTAATGTTCCTGCGACTTGTTTATACCTGATCCTCTCACAGATGCAGATCTGAAAGAATATCTGCTGATTTTCTCACATCTAATCGAAACAATGGCAACAGGTGGTACAGCTGAGGTTCTGGAGAAGATCGGTGAACGTCACCTGGACTGTTCCATCTGCTTCAACCGTTTCACTGAGCCCAAACTTCTTGATTGTTTGCACACATTTTGCTTGACATGTCTCCACAACCTCAAACTCAGAGAAGGTCCCCAAATTCTGAAACTCAGATGTCCCCTGTGCAGAAAAGAAACCACATTACCAAGCAACAGACTCGAAGATCTGCCAACTAACTTCACACTGAGTGCCCTGGTAGAGGAGTTTGAAAAGCAGAGACAGATTTTAAAGGGTCAAGGGTCAGAGATCAAATGTCAAAGCTGTAATGAGCAACATCAGGCAACTTTATTTTGCATGGACTGTGATCAGTTTCTTTGCAAAGACTGCCAAAAGGTACATGAACGCCTGGCGGGGACAAAATCTCACAAAACCTGCACAACGGTTCAGCTTCAATCAGGGGACATTGCCTACAAGAGCAAACTAAGAGAAGAACCAAAATGTGACAAACATCCAGAAATGAATATTAGCATTTATTGCTACACATGTCAGCAGTTGGTATGCCGAACTTGCTCTGTTCCAATTCATGACACACATGCTGTTGCCAACATCACTGAGGCTTTTAAAAAGTGCAAAACCGAAACTGCTGAACTGATAGCAAAGGCTGAACACATAAAAAAACAACTAAACAATAAAAAGGAAAACATAGCAAAGTCCTACAAGAAACTAGACACCATGTTTGAAGACATCAACAAGAAGATCTCCCAAAAGGCTGACAAGGAGGTTGCTAGGATCAGGGAGATGGAGCAGAAACTGAAGCAAGAGGTCCAGGAGATCTACCAAGACAGAGTCAAGACATTGGAGACTGCTGAAGATACCATCAACAATGAGCTGATTGTAGCAGAGCAGACACTGGACGAGATGAACCAGCTCCTGGCTCAAGAAATTAAGACGGAGATTTTACATTGCTGCCAAAAATTCTTGCATTCCAACAGAAAACTGACAGAACAACCAACAGAAAAGTCACATTTTGTGCCTGAGCAATTGCTCTTCATTGATTTTCAAGAGAGCGATGAGACTCTGAAGTCACTTGGAAGGCTGACTATGAAAGAAAAATTAGAGTGGAAATTGAAGAGTGAAATGAAACTTTCCGGGAAACATGTCTGTACTTCCATTGCAACTTTCTCCAATGATGAAATAGTCACAGCAGATTATGGATACAAACAGCTGGTAAATTATTCACCAACAAGCAACCCCCAAGTGCCTTTCACCTCAAAAATACTCTACATTCCAGACATCACAGATCCACACAGAGTTGCAGTCAACAGACTAGATCACCTCCTTGTCCTAGATGGTCCTGCAGTCAAGACCTTCAGCAGAGAATATCAACTCCTCCATCAGTTCCAGCCAGGAACTGATTCAGGCCGCAAACCAACCTGCCTGGCAGTGGATGAGGACAATCTGATAGCTGTGGGCTACAAGGCCAAGGGAGAGATCAGCCTCCACAAGCCAGATGGAACCCTCATCAGGAATCTGCCCACATCACTGAGAGTAGACCGACTTGTCATCAGCAACAAGCGGCTCATCTACACTAATGAAACAAAGGGAAAACTAATATCAACAGATTTCCATGGCAACATAGTATTCACAGCAGACATGCAAAGACCAAAGAGTGTATGCTGTGACAAACATGGTAACATCTATGTTGCCCAGGGCCGACAATCTTCACCAAGTGGAGGAGAAATTTGTGTCTACAGTGCCTGGGGCAAATACCTTGGATGTGTTACTAAGGAATTCATGGTCACAGTTGTCATGGCGTTCACACAAGCAGGTGAACTGGTAGTGGGCAAATTGGGCTTCTTGCAAATCTACCACCAAGTGTGACATTTTTCCACTTGGCATCTACCCAAGGCCCAAAATTAATTCAAAGAATGGTTTATAAAATTGGTGTTAATTTACTGGTTCATGTAAGATTGCCAAGAAAACATGTAATTCAAAGCGTCGATTAGTAAAAGACTTTTAAATAAGTCACTTAAAAACTTGCATTTCTCTTTGTCATCACAGTCAGTAAAACAAATATTTTGTAGCAATAATAGATGACTGTATTAATTCAAAAACACATTTTTAATCAAAAAATTATCCAAAAGTTATAAAAGATCATTACTCTCAGTCAAAACGCAAGCCATGTAGGCCAATTTATAGGTAAAAAGACGACCGTCTTTGGAAAGTCATTTTATACAAAAACTGATTTTAACAGTTTTTGTTTGAAACTTTTCATTAGTTTACATTTGATTGACGATGTTTATAACATAAACTTAATGTTTGGCAGCTCTGATGTAGTCTGCATGCGAACAAATTATTGCAGAATTAATCAAAGATTGTAGAGCACTGCGTACCGGCACAAGATGGAGAACTTCACCGTGAATACTTGAAAAATGTAATCGCATGCAGAAAACGTGCACCGCACAGGCGTATCACTTGCTCAAATGGCGCCCATGGTGATTACATCTTTTGGGCAGAATTCTCGCTATACAATCCTTGAAATTAATCATACACAAGAAAGCAGCCATTGTAAAATGGACAAACAAGTCATAATTTATTAAAAAGGTGAACAAAGAAATTGACTGGAGCAGGATCTGAACCTGCAACCTCTAACACCGTACCAATGCTCTACCAACTGGTGTTTCAGGTAATGGCTTCTGGCTAGCGTCCCCAAACAGAGATATTGACAAATGGGAAGAGCCACCAACATAGGGCTGGGTGACACAGTTGGTAGAGCACTGGTACGGTATTCCGGAGGTCCCAGGTTCAAATCCCGCTCCAGTCAATTTCTTTGTTCATCTTTACAATAATTTATAAGCACCTAGTCAGTTTCCTGATATAGTTTCTTTCAAGTAATAATTTAAGATGAAGAAATTTACAAGGGAGGTGGTTGCTAAACAGAAATAACCTTTTTCTTTCAACTGTATACAGACGAGACTGCATTGATTTGACTATCTGGTGTATCCAGGTTTTCAAGAACAAAACAGGATTTCAATAATTGAATATGTTGATTTTTTTTAAATGCACATTACATTGTAGCTGACATCAGCTTAATTCCTAGAGCCTAAGAGCAGAGCCAAAGTGACAATACATGAAAGTACTAATTTGCTCTCGGACAAGCACTAAGTGTACAGTATTTCTGAATATACGTCGGGTAAGGGCCAGCCTGTAATTGACATTAACATCTCCCCAGGGCAAAGTACATCTTGAAAAAGGAATGGCTTTCATCCAATGAGAGACAGTATGAAGCTGCTAAAAAAAGTGCAGCTAACAGCTCCTTTACGTGGATCCTTTGTAAATACTGAAAAATTCTGCTGCATTACTATTCCAGAAAGCAACCTGATTTTTTGGTGCTCTGGGTATGTGGAAAATTAGAATAAAATTGAAGGTGGCCTTCAACTATCAAAGCAAATTTATTAATCTCGCAATGAACATGTATAGTTTCCTGAACAGAAAAGTTATGGATTATCAGCAGTGCTTCGAATCTCTTCTAAAGTGATGGAAAGATACCGGAATGTGTTTCAGCAAATTTACACTATTGTTGTGTAACTTAAAGCCATTTTTGTTGGAAAGTATGTCACGACAGTTTTGTAAAGAAAAAGTACTCAGACTGAATGTTTTCGACTAAATCATTTAGTGGTTAAATCCAGGTTAACCATGATCATTATCAGAGAGAAAAACATGCTTTTCTTTGAGAAAAGTTTTGATGAAACTGTAATTGTTATGAAAGACAAAAATTACTGTTCTATTGCTGGTGTATTAAAATCGCTTCACAGCACGCTAACTAAACAAATTGGTAAATTGGTCTACTGCTGAAAATTGAATAAAACAGATTTCCTGTTATCTTTAATTGACTCAGGCTTGTTTACAGACTGTTTTGAGAGCCCACATGATTAATCCATGCCAGGTGGAGACAGGAACGACCAAACCTTACAACTGCCGTTCCACTGACTTTCCAAAAGTGGGCGAGCTACAAAGTGAACAATAACCTCAAATTATGCACTTGTGGTTTCTCATTTCTAAAATTGGGGGGGGGAATCAAAAGAGCCACTGTCACAAAATGTGGAAGGGGGCGTGTATACACCTATGCCATGTGACCATACCTACTGATATCAGTGACAAACATGGAACTTCTCTCCATTCTTTAGACCTGTTGGACGCTGAGGAGAGTATGCAATGCACGTTCTTAATTTAAAAGGTCCAAGTCCTGAAACTGCCTAGGCATCGAAAATATTTAAATAAAATGAAATATTCTGCCACACGTTAAGGTGGCAAGAACAAAAATCAAGGTAGGTGGGATAACAAATTCACCATTATAATTTTTTCGGGGGAGGGCAATCTGTTTTGGAGAGAGGCGTAAATTTCCAGGGAGAAAGCAGAGCATTCATCAGCTAAGCAACAAGTGCTCAAGCAAACTGCTGTGTAGAAAGCACATGATGTAATTTACTCCAAACTTTTCTCCTATACTACAATCCGGGCCAAAATGGTTGGGACGCATGTCATTGATAATAGTAAAAGTAATTAGTAATAGTAATAATGTTGTCATCTCGAGCCGGAGCACAGACTGTGCAGTAAGACCAACATTCAGAGGGGGCCCAGGGGTGGGGCCCAACGAGATTTGACCAGCATTGTAGTTACAGGACCTGCATGCCTTCAGGACCTGCATGCCTACAGGACCTGCATGCCCACAGGACCTGCATGCCCACAGGACCTGCATGCCTTCAGGACCTGCATGCCCACAGGACCTGCATGCCCACAGGACCTGCATGCCTTCAGGACCTGCATGCCCACAGGACCTGCATGCCTGCAGGACCTGCATGCCTCTAGGACCTGCATGCCTACAGGACCTGCATGCCTCCAGGACCTGCATGCCTCCAGGACCTGCATGCCTACAGGACCTGCATGCCCACAGGACCTGCATGCCTACAGGACCTGCATGCCTACAGGACCTGCATGCCTACAGGACCTGCATGCCCACAGGACGCATGTCCTGACTAACATCTAGCTGCCCTGCAATGCTGAAACGCATGCTATCTTGGTCTTCATACAGAAAATGATTGATGAACAAGTCCTATACATCAGAGTAAGGGCAAATCCATATTAAAAATTAATGTCCCCCTGATGCAAAGAACATCTTGAAATAGTTGGTGATACTCACTGCTACATTCGACTCCGGCGGACCAGCCAACCGAGCCCGGCAAGCTTGGTGGTCGAGTGGTTAAGACATCTGCAAAAACAAGGAGGTTGTGGGTTTGAGTCCCTCCATATGAGTATAAGGGCATAGTCCATTATTTAATTCTGAACATTTCCCTGAGGCAAAGTACATCACTGCTACATGTACCAGTACATCTGACCCGGACCGGCCAGCCAACCCCGACAAGCTCGGTGGTCCAATGGTTAAGACGTCTGCACTAGTAAGCAGGAGGTCATTGGTTCGAGTCCAACCCAAGTAAGCTTGTGAAGTTTTTACAAGCTGCTGGACAAACACTACGTATACAGTGATAAATGTATGTTGGTGAAAGGGCAAAACGCATAGTTTAAAATTAACATCTCCCTGACGCAAATTTCCTCTCAAATATTACTAGAAAGTCAGCAATTTGCAACCTAGAGTTGTCTCAAATTTGTGTAGATATTGCTAACCATTTGCTGATAATGAAAGACCCAAGCAGGGCTGTCATTTTCTATTATAAACCCATCTTACTCTGTGTTCAGCAACTTTTATAACCCCTGGCTTGCGTCTTTGTAAATTTTTCTAAGTAGGTCTGCATATGCATATTAATTGTACTCTAGAATAGAGAATGTTAAAATGATTTCTATTACATGTTGGATTCAACTTGTAACTCCATCACTGCTGCTGGGGATTTTAATGCTCAACTGAATGTTGATTTAGTCCTACGCCATCTTTTCATGAAACTTTATTTCAAATGTTTTTGCTGTATGTCATGATTAAAATCAATGCATGTAGCATTTTTCCAACAAAAAATAACTGGCTTTATAATTAAAAAATTAACTTTATTATGAAAAGTTTATCGAACAATTTGTCTGCCACAAACTGGACTTTGCAAGCTCTTAAGCTCTTAGACTTTGTGACCATATCAATCTGTATTGTTAAAATCATGTAGTAGGTTAATTCTGTTTGGACAATAAAAATCATGAGATACAACAGCATGTGCTTTGACAGATTCGAAAAACAAGCAAAAAGTTTGTACTTTGTCATCTTTGTCAACAGCATCCTAAGGCAATGATTACTCAAAAGTGAGTGTATAGACTCTCAAAGTACAGGTACATACAGGAGACTTCATCCACAGAGAGACAATTTCTCAAGGATATTTCGCAAGGTGAGTTTCTTCTCTCATAATTTCAAAGAATGTTTGCTTTTTGTTTGTTGATTGGAGGTTTTCTATCAAACAGAGCAACAAGAGTGCAAAAGATCAATTCTACTTATGAGTAAATGTGCCAAGCAAACCATGGTGCCTTCAGTTGTTATTTCTGTCTGTTTCCATTTGGCTGGACAAATTGACAATGATCGCATATTATCTGTGTTATAAAGCCTATCAACTGGCAATTTTCCCAGTGGGCTTAGATGTAAATACTTCCAAGGGGTTGCCCAGGGTCTGTTGTAGCTTTAGCTTAAAAGCTTAACGCAATACAATAAATAAACCAAGGTTTCCTGCAACACTGACTGGAATAAATATAATCCTTTTACAGATCTAGTAGATTTGCTGAAGTTTTCTTCACATCCAACCAAAGCAATGGCAACTGGTGGTACAGTTGATGTTCTGGAGAATAACTGTGATCCCAATCTTCAGTGTTCGCTCTGCTTCAACCATTTCAGTGGACTGAAAATACTGAACTGCATGCACAGGTTTTGCTTGAAATGTCTCAACAATCTAAGAGATAGTCAAGATCCGCAGGCCTTGAAGATCATATGTCCCCTGTGCAAGAGTGAAACCATGTTGGAAAAAAATGGGGTAGAAGATCTACCCAAGTACACACATGCAATGGAGGAGGACTGTGAAAAACAAGAACAAGTACAGGTACTGAGGGGTCAAGGGTCAGAGATCAAATGTCAAAGCTGTGATGACCAAAATCAAGCAACTTCATTTTGTGTGGGTTGTAAACACTTTCAGTGTCAAGAATGCCAAAAGGCACACGAACGCTTGCCAGTAACAAAATCTCACAAAATCTACACAATGACTCAGCTTCAGTTGGGAAAGACAATATGTGAAAAGCATCCAGAAATGGTTCTCAACATTTATTGCAACACATGTGAAGAGCTAGTGTGCCCAACGTGCTCTGTTCTGAAACACCAAAAACACACTTGTGCTAATATATCTGTGGCTTTAGAGAAATGTAAACAAGAAATTACAGAACTGATGGCAAAGATTGAAACAAAGAAAAAAGAACTGAACAATTTCAAGATAAATACAGCTGAGTCTCGCAAGAAACTAGACACCATGTTTGAAGCCACCAACAAGAAGATCTCCCAAAAGACTGACAAGGAGGTTGCTAGGATCAGAGAGATGGAGCAGAAACTGAAGCAAGAGGCCAAGGAGATCTACCAAGACAGAGTCAAGACATTGCAGACTGCTGATGATGCCAACAACGCAGAGCTGACAGTAGCAGAGCAGATACTGAACGAGATGAACTATTTCCTTGCTCAAAAAGTAAAGATTGAGACGTTATTTCTAAAAAAAAAATGGTTGCACTCATTCAGAGAATTGACAGAACAACAGCCACAAATAGTGCCTTACAAGTTGCAATTCATGGACTTTCAGGAGAGTGGTAGTACAGAGATGATACTTGGAAAGCTGATTCTGAAAGATGAAAGGAGGTTGGTGGAGCCAAATTTGAAACCAAAGTCAGAGTGGACATTGGAGGTGAAAATGAAACTACTTGGAAAACATGCAATTACTTCTGTTGCAGTTTTCTCCAATAATGAAATAGTCACAGCAGACTATGGACTCAAGAAGTTGGTGACTTATCTTCCCACAAGCAACCCCGAATCTCCTTTTACCTCCAAAATACTAGCAATTCAAGCCATCAATGAGCCACACAAAGTTGCAGTCAACAGGCTAGACCATCTCATTGTCCTAGATGGTCGTGTAGTCAAGACCTTCAGCAGAGAATATCAACTCCTCCATCAGTTCCAGCCAGGAACTGATTCAGACACCAAGCCAACCTGCCTGGCAGTGGATGAGGACAATCTGATAGCTGTGGGCTACAAGGCCAAGGGAGAGATCAGCCTCCACAACCCAGATGGAACCCTCATCAGGAGACTACCAGCACCAATGATTGAAGATCACCTGGCCATCAGTAGGAAGCAGATCATCTACAGCAACAACTCAAAGGGTAAACTGATATCTAGAAATTACCACAGCGGCACAAAATTTATAGTGGACACACAATATCCAAAGAGTGTATGCTGTGACCGTCAAGGTAATATCTATGTTGCCAAAGTCTCCCGCTTTATGTCAAGGGCAGGAGATATAAATTCCTTTGATGCTCACGGTAAACACATTGGACAAGTTACTAAGGACTGTAAGCTTACAGTAGGCATGACATTCACATCAACAGGTGATCTGGTGGTAGGCAGACTGGGTTGGTTGCAAATCTATCATCCCAGTTTAGAAAATGATTCTGCATACGAACCCAAAATCTCTGCTGGAAAAATGTATACCATTTAACTACAGAAAGTCAAGTACATTTACATGTACATCTACTTATTGTTAGTCATTCATTTTGATGAAAATGACAGTTCTGTGAGTAAACTTCAAGCAGGCTGAGTCATTTTTTTAACAAAACTCCAGACAAAGTCTGTCAATATCACATCTCTTAATAATCAACATATAGTAAATCACGCAGGTGTATTGATGTATCAAGTTTCCCTCAAAAAAGCACCGCCTAATATTAAGGAAGCTCAACAAATAATAGTGGCAAACTGTTGATTAATTATAATGAATTCACCCGAATGTAGGTGAACATACAAGTACGCCTGTGTGTCACAGCCTGAACAGGATTATAGATGCCTATACATTTAATAATGGACAAAATCAAATAGACACATCCCAATTTTCAGTTGTCAATATTCCTAAATGTATATTTTCTTTAAAGCACGTTTGCAGAAAATGTTTCCCACTTACAAACAAAATATTCTGACCAATCCAGTGATAACATCCATTTAGAGTAAACTAGCCCAAGAAAGGGCACTGATTCCATGGAACGCAACACTGGGATTGTATTGATTGGGCCAAACAAAAATGCAAACTTACAGGCATTGAAAGCACAGTGTTTAGCTACTCAACAGTGGAAGGGATTCATTACCTCGTATACATGTACCACGTGACAGGGAAATTGTGTAACCATGACAACAAAGGCACTTCTGGTGCTGTGAATTATGGTTATTTCCTGAACTACGGCTGCTTGGCTTTGTGCCTAGCCACTAGAAGAAGCACTGCCTGGAAAACGAGTTTACAAGTCATTCTGGTGGCTAGGTGCAGGTACAGACAAAGTGGGTGTAACCAATCTTCCAATATTTCCTACTTTAAATGGGAAACAGTATCAAAGCCTCTACAACAAAATGGCCAAGGAGAAAATATTTACTTTATCAGAACAAGATGTCATTTGGCTACAAAAACTCTCACTGTTAATGCTTTCTCAATCTCAATCTTGTTCTCATACCACAGAGATTATGTAAAAAAAGAGATTGTGCACACACCTAATGGCTGTCAAATTTGTGATATACCATAGAGATTGTTTTGATTAAGTAAATTACCACAGAGATTATATGTTCTTTGTATTTAATCATGCAAAAAAAGTAGCAATTTAAGAAACAACTGAATTTAATGCCAAAGAAAAAAATGAGTGAGAAATTGTTCAATATTTTAGATTGGAAAAAGATTCTTTTAGCCAAATAATTATACTCTGTATTCCTGCATGAACTGCATGCACTTAACTATCAGGCATGTCTACAATCCTGGACAAATGTCGTTGGAACATGCCTCGCCCCCTGTCAATGTTGCTTAACATTGGGTAAGTTGGGTTGAATTTTGGTCCAGTAAATGACCGCAACACTGAATGGGGGAGCGGGGATCTTTTCACCGTGCTTCCCACAAGGTGTTCCAACAATTTTGTCCAGGATTGTAGGTCATGAGGCCGATACAAATAAATGGATATTGAGTCTCAATGATTGAATTTGTTCTATCTTCTGAACACTGGTCTATGATTATCCCAGAAAAAAATGGAGCTGACAATGGCTTAATTTGTAACATTATTTTGCACTTAAAGATCATTTTAGTGACAGCTTAGAATGGTATGCTAATGACTGTGTATGGCTGACATTTTTTCGAAAAACTAAAACTGTGTTGCATTGTTATTCCAGAATATGACCGATTATTTACTGAATCAGAGTATATCAATGGTTGGAATAAATAGGAACTTGATTCTTCTAGGATCACATGGAATGTCTCAGCTCTGTTAACAAGTGCCCCCCCCGGCCAGACACAAGAGACTTCTTAAAGTGAAAAAACCTGAGACAGTGACGCAACAATAGGAAACTTCAAACGTGCAGCATTAGCAAGCCTACCTCTCAGGCTTAATGGCGCTGTTTTAATGGCAATAAACCAAAATATGTGCCCTGTCATAGCCATGTGATATGCTGGCGAGGGTTTGATGCTAACAATGAGGGTTTGATGCTAACAATAAGGGGTTGATGCTAATAATGAAGTTTTGATGCTAACAATGAGGGTTTGATGCTAACAATAATCAGGGTTTGATGCTAACAATGAGGGTTTGATGCTAAAAAGGAGGGTTTGATGCTAACAATGAGGGTTTGATGCTAACTATGAGGGTTTGATGCTAACAATCAGGGTTTGATGCTAAAAAGGAGGGTTTGATGCTAACAATGAGGGTTTGATGCTAACACTCTGGGTTTGATGCTAACAATGAGGGTTTGATGCTAACAATCAGGGTTTGATGCTAACAATGAGGGTTTGATGCTAACAATCAGGGTTTGATGCTAACAATGAGGGTTTGATGCTAACAATCAGGGTTTGATGCTAGTACCTTTCCCCGGTTTTGAAAAGTAAAAACCGATGTAAAACTGACATCTCCAAAAAAATGTGTTTTTGCTTAAGCAGCCCCGTTATTTTGTCGCAATACATTAGCATGCGGTTGATTTCCTTGTTTCAATAGTGACAAAGGTCACGTTATTTTGATTCCCTCATGGTCAACAGAGGGCTCCCTGGCACTGGTGGTCTTAAACTGAAATTGGCATGCTGTAATATTTTGTTAACAATAGGGCCAATATTAAGTAAGAAATAAACAATTCGCAAAATTTTAAGAAAAGAAAATTGGAGAGAACGTACCTCCTCATTTTCCAATGGCAGACACATCTCCAGGTGCAGCTGCATGGCAGTGCTCTCTTGTGTGTTGCAATGAGGGCACTCCCCAGCTCCTCATGGTCGGTGGGCTGAGGGGTTTGTCCCTGCTTGGACTGCCCGAGGACGCTCCAATGAAAGTGGTTAACTTAGCATTCATTACATCTCTACGGAGAAAGCAAGAAAGTAATTACTATGATACACAATGCATATGCAGTGGCAGATACCAGCTTGTTAATAATGTTCCAATTTGAAAAGGCTATAACATAATGTCACGCTTTGTTTATATAAGCTCTTTCCTATGGCAGTGAGATGAGGCAGAATTCATTGAGTCTCCATAGGAAAGCTCACATGTAAACAAGGCGCGATGTCATTATATTATTGTCTATTGACCATTGAGGGTTTTCAGTAAGAGCACTTGCCACTTTGGACAGCCCAGGTATACATGAAATGATGGGTAATGACTTGTTTACAATAATTCACCAAAATGTAGAGTTTGAAATCATTTTGAGCATGGTTACCAACACAGAAAAAGATTAACCCCTTGACGTCAGTACTTGTTTCTGACTCGAAGAATTCCAGCTTCGTTTGACCACGAAAGCCACCTGCCAAACTGCAAATTCTCGGTTTGTGGCCCTGCGTGCTCTGCACGCTTTGATTTACACAGTAAAAAGGCTCACTGTTCGGTGGCACGTGGCTCTACTCACGCTTCCACATTCCCGTTGCCTCTATTCAAAGTGGGGGCTATTGTGAAGCTGGTGATTATGATGCAAATTTGGCCTCTTTATTTCTTGGCAACACACAAATGCCAATCACCATATATACAAGAGCCAGGGTATGCCTTCTTTCACTGTGTTCGCTCCAGCGTGGGCCGAGAATAATAGCTGAAAAGCGGGCTGAGAGATCTCAATTTTTACGGCGGCTTTTACCATTTCCCAGTGAGAAGGGGGTTAAATCAAGCAATATACATCTGCAAAGTGTGAATCAGAGCAAGTACGAACAGCAGATCAAGTCAAATATCTTCCTGGGTTAGAAATTTGACTTAGATTTGACTCATCATTTGACGGATATGACGAACAGTTGACTTTACAAATTCAAGTGAAAGCAGATGCCGACTTATCACTCTGAAACTCCTGTGTGATGGTCTCTAGGTACGTTGCTAAGCTAGAAAGTCATGCCCTACTGCCGTGGCCAAAACTTACAAGTACAGGCACTCTTTCAGATCAACAGTGGAAAACACCAATACTAACACAAATGTCAGACGTCATACCTGAACTGCCCATGACAGCTTGACTATTGTTCGAAGCTGCATAACACTCTACAGAATTTGGAATAGCAGCTTTTGAACAAATTTTATTAGCTGAAAAATGATTCCGCTGGAATGGACTCTTTCCCAATGAAAGTTTGTAAATGACTAATAACACAAGACAGTGAATTCTTGATAAAAAAAACCTCACCTGTGTACATGGGTGAGTTGACTGCGGCCGATCGTGACATGCACATAAGGCCAATTTGGGTCAATAGAGAGGTCACGCAGTAAACTTAGCTTGCTGGATATTTCCTGTCAGAAAATAACCAGAAAGAGAGTATTTATTAAGTCTGGCAGGTCAGCATTGAACATCTGATGAAGCTTTGGACAGATGAGACACTGAACCTTATGAAACTAACTCAACTCAGCACACTTGACACTTTCTGTCAGAAACTAACAGGGAAGAAGGAATGAAGACTGCAGAATATCTGAAGATAAACAGACGAGGCACTGCACCTCATGCTGTAAACCTAGCTTGCCGACACTTTCTGTCACAAAATCACCAAAGAAAGATGGAATCATTGGAGGTCAAAAGTCTGCAGCACATTTTGTTCTTCAAAACAACAAACCTTGACTAGAAGGCTGTATGTAATCTGAATCAAAATAAAACTAAATCCATGCATTTTACACAGTTGGTGTCAACCTCTGAACTGGCATTCTAATTCAAATGTTTTTGTGATGCACTGGGTGTACTCAAACAATAAATACAAGGCACTTCAACAAAATCGCTGAAATAACATTTAATGTGTTTATATTCAATATTTATATTTCACGGCTGCCACTAAAATCTCGAGGTATGAAAGGGGCTTTAATTTAGCATTTGATGGACTTGTATTTTTAATTTAGGGCATTACAGTTTAAATAAATTCATTCTATTTGTTGCTTCAGTTATATATGGAATATTGTAAAATCTTTTTTCCATTAGACAACTTTCAACTTTTCAGGCAATAAAAAGCGTGAAGCTCACAGAGCCGCATCACAAAATTCCCTCACCGGAATGCCAAGTTGCTGTAAACAACCTTTTTCACAAGCAAATGTAGTTTAATCTAATTTGGTGGGGGTAGGGAGTTTGCTGCTCATGTACTGCTCTTTGTGACTGAGGTTGTAAAGGGTATCCAAGTACCCAGAACCTGACTGTTAATTAGATGCCAAAACCGGCCAGCCGTTACGGACTGTTGCTAACCATGACGCACTTATGCAGTGTATAGGCCGTTTGTGGATAGTTGCTCAATGAGTTTCATGTACATCTACACATCTGTGAGTATCCGACTAACTTCTCCACAATGATGACTCAACAACCTCTGGTTTATTTTATTTCACACTCAGACACTTTAACATGTTACTCACTGAATCTTTTCATTGTAGTTTAAATTGCAAAGAAAGCCCAGACAAGTCAATTTTGGGTTACAGACGGAATGCAGGGAGAGTGAGCGTGCCAGCAGCTCTGCAGTAGAGTGGGCTTGTAAGCAACGGAAAATAATATACATGCAGGGTTTCGTTAAAATTTCAATGATAATTGCAGGTACTTGCACATTATGGGAATCAGGTACTTGGTTCTTTTTCTACTCGTAAACAAGCACCCCTATTAAATGGGAGAATTTCATTTTGCGCAAACATTAATTTTTTTTTTGAACAGCAGCACAGAATACACCTGGTGACTATTAACTAATCTGGCTTAGCTCTATGGCAAAAGTTCAAGCACAGGCCAAGAAAGCATAATGTGTTTATCTAAAGATAGTAGATAGCAGATGCCAATCACACATTCATGTCAAACATTCCCAAGTTGTTCTTAAAATTGGGAATTCGCTGTCCACTGCACTGTGAGTGTGCAAGCTTTTCAAATTTGCAAACAAGTAAATATTAACCAGATTAAACGAGTATGATCCTTCAATCTTTGCTCATTCTAAAAGTACAAAGGAGCAAACACATCGCCACTTTTGCCTATTTTGTTCGGCAACACAAGTTCTAACCTAATTGCCTAGGCTAAATGTGTTCAGTGATTTTATCTAAGGATAGCAGACTTCATCTGTAGACAGCCAATACGTGAAGGATGAACTCAAAAGTTAGTTCATTGAAAGTAAGTAAGTTTCTTTTTTTTCCCACAAAAGGAGTAATGGCAGAACGGACTGCACAGGGGGGTAGTGTATTGGTGATTTGTTTTCAACTAATGTGAATTTTCTCAAAACAAAACTTTAATACGGCAACCTTTGGCCGACAAGTCATACCTACGTAATTATAGTATAATAATATTGATATGAATGGTAATATTTGATATTTGTGCATTTTCTAGCCAATTATCTGTCACACAGGTCTACAAAAAACTTACCATACCCACCAAAAGACAGCAGTCAGTCTTACCAGCCACCAAACTTTGAATCCTGTGGATTTTGAAGAACCTGGTAAGGTTCTAGTTATTCCTTTCATTCAATTTAGACTAGGCATTTGTGCAAACTTGTAAATATGTCTTGATCCTATTGTGCAGGGCTTACCTAGCACTGACTTCACATTTACAAACACAACTCATAATAAAGTCCACCACCTGGCACTTCAACCCCCCCTCCCTCGGATCAACAAATTGTCTAATTAATCTTTTAAAAAAAGGAATGCTGTACTTTTAGTACCCCCTGGGATGCATGTAAAAAAAACTATATTGAAATTGGAGGATCGAGGACTGTTCAAAAGAAACAATACTTACAAATGTTTATATTTTTCACAGATCTAGAGATTTCTGTGGCTTTTCTCACATCCAATCAAAACAACAATGTCAACCGCTGCTGAAATTCTGGAGAAGATCGGTGAGAGTCATCTAGAATGCTCCATCTGCTTCAACCGTTTCGCTCAACCCAAAGCACTAGACTGTTTACACTCTTTTTGCCTGGACTGTCTCAAGCATCACAGAGATAGCCAAGATCCGTACGCCAGAAAAATCAAATGCCCCCTGTGCAGACGTGACACCACACTGCCAAGTAACAGGCTCGAAGATCTGCCTACTAACCATGCACTGAGCGCTCTCGTTGAAGATGTTGGAAAACGAGAACAGCCTCTGCAGGGTGAAGGGTCAGAGATCACATGTCAAAGCTGTGATGAGCAAAATCAGGCACTTTCATTTTGCAACGAGTGTAAACATTTTCAGTGTCAAGAGTGCCACGGGGCACATGCCCTCCTACCAGTAACAAAATCTCACAAAATGTACATGCTGGCCGAGCCTCAATCGAGATGGACTGCCCACAAGAGCAAACTAAGAGAAGACCCAAAATGTAACAAACATCCTGATCAGAATATTAACATTTATTGCAACACATGTGAGAAGTTGATTTGCACAACTTGCTCTGTTCTGAAACATGAAAAGCATTCTTGTGCAGACATATCAGAGGCTTTTGATAAATGCAAACAAGAAATTGCAGCAGCAATGGCAAAGGTTGAAAAGAAGAAAACACAACTGAAGAATGCCATGAAAAACACAGCCAAATCTCGCAAGAAACTAGACACCATGTTTGAAGCTACCAACAAGAAGATCTCCCAACAAGCTGACAAGGAGGTTGCTAGGATTAGGGAGATGGAACAGAAACAGAAACAAGAGGCCAAAGAGATCTACCAAGACAGAGTCAAGGCATTTGAATCTTCTGACAACATCAATGATAGACAGCTGAGAGAAGCAAGGCAGATAATGGATGAGATATGCCTAATTATGAGTCGAGACTACAAGACTGAGATCTTATATCATAAGCAAAAATTCTTGCATGCTCTTAGAAAACTTACCTGTGCAGAACAGCCACGGATGGTGCCAAAAAAGTTCACCAACTTTCAAGAGCATGGGGAGACTGCAAGGACACACGGACGGCCGATTCTGAAAGAGGAGAGAGGGCTGGTGGAGCCAAATTTGAAAGAGGACTCAAAGTGGAAACTGGAGACTAATATGGAACTATGTGGAAAGCATGCAATTACTTCTGTTGCAGTTTTCTCCAACAATGAAATAATCACAGCAGATTATGGATACAAACAGCTTGTAACTTATTCACCAACAAGCAACACACAATTCCCTTTCACCCCTAAAATACTCCAAATTGCAGATATCACAGATCCATGCCAGGTTGAAGTGAACGGGTTGGACCACATCATTGTCCTAGATGGGCTTACAATCATGACTTTCAACAGAGATTATCAGCTCCTCCATCAGTTCCAGCCAGGAATTGATTCAGAGAGCAAGCCAACCTGCCTGGCAGTGGATGACGACAATCTGATAGCTGTGGGCTACAAGGCCAAGGGAGAGATCAGCCTCCACAACCCAGATGGAACCCTCATCAGGAGACTACCAGCACCAATGATTGAAGATCACCTGGCTATCAGCAAAAAGCGGATCATCTACACCAACCGAGTGAGGGGAAAATTAGTTTGTACAGATTACCATGGAAACACAGTATTCAAAACAGACACACAGAAACCAAAAAGTGTATGCGGTGACAGCCAAGGCAACATCTATGTTACCAAAGGCTTACCCTCCTTCCCAGGAGCGGCAGATATCCATGTCTTCAGTAACGGTGGAAAACACATTGAATGTGCCATCAAGCAATGCATGTTTACAGTTGACATGGCAATCACACCAGCAGGCAATCTGGTGGTAGGCAGATTGGGTGTCTTACAAACCTACCGTTGTGTGTGACAACAGACATCTGTCGCAAACAAATCCAAAGGTCTTTCACACGCAAGTTTAATTGTAAGCATGCTGCTTATTCACAGCAAATTACTTGGCACAATTCAAAGAGACTTTGACAACTGACCAAGTAACTTTCAAATTTTCATTGTTTTTTCACAAATGTCAGTCCATCAGTTCAATGGATAATGAGGAATAAAAGAGGTCGGCAACCTGGATATCATAGAGGACGATAATAACCAAGCCAAAGGCCCCTGGCAGATTTTAAACATGGTTGTTTAAAACAATTTCATGTATTCCACTTCATAAATAACTTTTCTGTTCAAACGTCCAATCAAAATTGTTTTGTTTTCCCATGATTTTGTTCAACAATACACCTAAAAACACTACCACATCACACTTTGTTTACACATGGGCTTTCCTACGGCAAAATCCATTGAGCTCTAAAAGGAAATTGCACATGTAGACAAAGCATGACATCATGTTTTAGCTATTTTATCCTGCTGTGAAATATCCCTCACAACATATGAATGGCATGTGTCTGCAAAACTCTCCTTGCACGGCGGTGTAGAAAGAAATGTTGGCTACACGACCAGTGGTGTACATGTATTGGAGTCTATAACAAGTCCCTGCAAGTCCCAGTAATGCCATTACAAGGCCATCACTAGTCCTCAGTCTTTAGCCAGTCTAAAGCTACTCAAATGAACTGTGACAAAAGCCTTTTGTCTGTGTTCACCCTGTTACTATGATTGGACTTTTGACTAGACTTGTGACTGGCCTTGTGACTGGACTTGTGACTGGACTTGTGACTAGAATTGTGACTGGCCTTGTGACTGGCCTTGTGACTGGCCTTGTGACTGGACTTGTGACTGGACTTGTGACTGGCCTTGTGACTGGCCTTGTGACTGGACTTGTGACTGGATTTATGATGGAACTTGCGACTAGACTTGTGACAGAACTTGTGACTGGACTTTTGACTGGACTTGTGACTGGACTTTTGACTGGACTTGTGACTGGACTTGTGACTGGCCTTGTGACGGAACTTGTGACTAGACTTGTGCTGGACTCGAATACAACACTGTACATAACATATAGATTCACTGGCTGAACTATACATGCCTATCTAATGATCATTATGAAGGTCAGTGACTCCCATGGATGAGGGTTAAAATCCTTAAAAATGGGTGTCAACATTTCATTTGAAGCCAGGAAAGCATCACATGCTAAAAACCATCCACATTGGGGGAGGCTCTTGTCCAACAGAACGGGTAAACTATGATTATAACTTTTAAAAGAAAGTTTAATCCAAAAATTTGATCTCTGTCACAAAGGATTGTAAAACTGCAGGTTGCTTTATCTAGATACTACTGAACTCCCAACCTGCATGTACACTGGCTGCCCTGGCTTTCATGTTTACCAAAACACAACACTAAATCATTGCTTCTTGTGATAGTCAATCCCAGATATGAAGAAAAAGAGTTTGAAAACTGTCAGTACAAAAAAGGTGATTTCGTTTGTAGAAGTGTTTTCTGAACTACACAATAAAAGAAGCCAAATTGCTGGCAGAGTTTTCAGTTAGTTTTCAGTTTTTCAAATTAGTTGCAGAGGAAATGCAGTGATTTCAGTGTTAACTACAAAAGCAGAGACAATTGAATTTAATGGTGATGAAAAACATGAGTGAAAAATGGTTGAATACTTTGGGATGAGAAACCTTTTCTTTTATTGTCATTGCCAAAGTATCAAGCTTTATTAGTCTGCATGAATCGCATTGACTTGACTGTCAGGTGTTGAAGGTATCAGAATGAAATACTGGGTTTGCTATTTATTGAGTGGTAAAGAATCAGTGATTATCTTAGAGAAACCTGGGCTGACGAGAGGTTACTTTGTAAAATGATACTTTTGTTCTTGAATACATGGCTAGCATTTTTCTCAAAAAATTCAGACTATACTGCATTATTATTCTAGAATATAGCCTGATTACTTTAAGTCAAGCTGGGTGTCAGGAAGTTGGGATAAATTTTTGTTTCAAAATGCAATCAATATGAAATTTTCTGAATAGAAAAAGTGTGGACAATGATATACATTTGCAGCATTTTAAAAGATGAAAGGGTTATTTGGAGCAAAGTAAAAACATTACATTACCCTCAAAATGTAATAATTACTACTTTTGCTGACAGTCACAGACAGTCATAAATTCCTTCCACATTTGCCCCGGTACACAGACACATAGGGGTCATTTGACTGATTTTGACTGAAAGGACAAGGTCAAGGATGTACATTATCTCACAAAAGTGTGGGGCTGATGATAGCTTACATTGTAGTGTTTGCTTGTATAAGGTACCGCTACGTTGTACCTGTCTGTTGAAGAGAACTCACCTCCTCGTTTTACAATGATGGCAGAGATATCTCTGGTAGCAGCTACATGGCAGAACTGTCCTGACCAGCAATGAGGGCGCTCTTCAGCTCCTGGCTCTCAGCGTGGGTGGGCTGTGGGATCAATCACATATGCAATAAAAATGTAAATTAGATCTTAAAGGCTGCTTTTTATCCAGTTTATTACACAATTAGAAAGAACACGTATTATAATACTTTGGAATTGTGTATGTGGCTAGCACTTTAACACTGCTAAAATAGTGTCAACATCTTATTTCAATCATCAATTTATCAACAGACCTGATCACATGACTTCATTGCTTCAACTGAAAATTTTTAATTGTTGTTTTCAAAACCAAAATTGGCATGTAATTTCTGGTGTAATATGGGCAATTTACAATAGTGTGCCTCCCTTTTCAATCACGCATTGCGTCAACTTTTAAGCAATGTGATTGGTCAATGCGTTGCAAACTCTTGGAGGCACACTATTGTGAATCGTCTGTATTAAATGAGTTGTTCTCAAATATATTTTAGAAAATGGACACTTTGTTGATAATACATGTACATGTACATGTATGCCCTTTTCAAATGCTGGCTAAAGTTTTGAAAACTGAATAAAATGGAGTGATTAGGTAAACATGGAATCATTTACATTTCTGCTATCAGTTCCTGCTGTATTTTTGACTGAAACTTCTTAAAAACTGAATTACGTATTAATTCTTTAGTTTTTGCTAGAAAACAGCATACTTACAATCACAGCACATTTGAAGGAAAGTCACCATTTTGAATATTTGGAATAAGCTATGGAGATAACTGAATTTAACTGCTAAACAGAAAGATAATTTTGCTTCATTAAACGTTGAATTCCCCACAATCATTTCAATTTGGTTTCTTTTTTGAAATGGACTAGATATGGACATTTCAACATTTGATTTTTAAATCCGGAACAATCTGATACAGATCCCACTGTTATGTGCACACTGAGGTACATTAAGTTATTAGTATAAAAAGGGAAAAATATGGACTACACGGACATTACTCTGTGACTTAATAACAAGACACAGGGGCCTCGCAACGGCACAAGAGTTAAGTCAAATTCAGTGAAGGGTAGATCATGATGTAAAGTCGCAAAATATAAAAAGGAAAAAAAAATCAACGGCACAGCCATTGGTTGTCCTGACAACAGGCACATGTACATACAGGGTTCCCTGGCAACTACACGAAAAGCCCATTCAAACTCAGTGAAATGTAAAATGTGACGCAATGCTATAGTTGAGCCCTTTCCCTTTGCTAGTTACGTTAACCTTCAGCCTTTGACCTTTGACACGCAACCTTCAATTGCTTCAACTAGCACCATGCAGGGTATGACAGTCATTTTCTTCAGCTTAACCGCTGCCAAAATATCTTACTCATGCGTGCCAGTCACCTTTCAGAAAATTAACTCATAAAAACCTCTGTTGGTGCTGTAATCAATCAAATCTATGCATCTTTGAAATGAAGAGAATTAGAAAAACTGTTGAAAGAAAACACCTGTTTTCATTTTGTCTCTTTTATTACAAATGAGCTGAGAGATCGCTCAACACAAATGTACATTATAAACACTGACTGTAATGTCATTTCTGTTGTCCTTTGAATAGGCTTCCCTGTACTGATGATGCCACACATGTCTCCATGTTCACTTTCCTACGGGGCCAGGGGGCCCATGGTCCCCTGAGCACCATAGGAAAGTACACGATGTAACGAGTGTGGTATAACCAGTACAGTGGTCTATTTTACTGTAAAACCTTCCTTTATGCCTCCCTTGAAAAACATTTATTACAAAACTTTTTACAACTTCATCTTGTCGTTATAACATCCATAATCGTTATAACTTCAGGAGACGACAAACTCCAAACCAAAGAGTTTGCAATGAACAAAAACGGGTTGCTCGACAAACTGAATCTTGCAAAATAAAAATTATTTTCAAAATGAAAGTGATAACCACTGATTAGTCGTTCCAAGTTTTAGTCTGCATATTCCTGCATTCCAGCTCTAAATCTCATCAGAAAATTTTCTTGTTGACTACAGCAAACTTGACAATGTCCCTGAACGTGTTCTCTACGGCCATGTGCAAGACACGGTCACTGTTCCTTAGGTTGAGATCCTCTGGTCTTTGCTGGCTCCCTTTAGACGTAAAAAGTCCAAAGCTACTACTGTTCGTTCCTGAGGAAACAACGAGAGCAGAGAAAATGAATTATCACCTGGTAGCCATACCAACTGGCAAGCCATAATAGTGCAGTTTGGCTGATGTTAACTCTTTGTATAAATCATCACATCACATTCAAAGAGAGGCTGAACTTGCACAATCGATTTGAAAGAGATGCTTCACTTACAATTTTTAGAAGTCAGCAGGGTATGACTTACTAGCTTAACAACAAACCTACAAACCATCACACATGAGATTTGTGTTTGCAAGTTCGGCCTCTCTTTGAATCTGATGACATACTTGTAATGCCTGAGAAAGCTTTGCTGCTGTTTCAGCTAGCCGCAGGCAAATGTGGTAAATAACAATTCGGAATAATTCTACAGCATGTGGAAAAGCAGCTTTTAAACAAAATTCAAATACTGAAATGATTCCACTGACGAAAAATCAGACCCTCTTTCCCCATGAAATCCAAGTTTGTTAATGACTAATAACGAACAAGGCAGTGAATTCTTGATAAAAAAAACCTCACCTGCGCGCATGGGTGAGTTGACTGCGGCCAATCGTGACATGCACATACGGCCAATTTGGGTCAATAGAGAGGTCACGTCCTCGTACATTGGAGGAAAAGCCTGGCATATTCTGACCAAAGAGGGCAGCGTTGGCAGGAAGAACTCACACAGGCTCTCACTGGGCAGGACTTAAGTGAAAAAAAGTCGGGGAAAAAAAGAGAGATTAAATTAGCACATTATTAACCACTTGATGCCAGATAATAAACACACATAATTTTCCTAATTTGTTCCACGGAGGATGTGTACACTCGTTTAAGAATTCCCTTTTTTTTTTCATTTCTGCGGTTGGCATAGTAACATGTTGTGCTTTGTTGGGTCAAAAGCATAATTTGCAAGGTTGAAGAATTTGGGGGTAAAAACCCACCCCAAGCAGCTTTTTCAGGTAAGAAAATATGACAGTAACTGGTTAACTATGACTTTGGAAATCTGCCACAGTCCTGTAGGTCAGTTTACGCTCAGGCAAATTTCAGGTCTTAATTTTTACCAGTTAGAAGTGTCGACATAACATTGATAGCTAGTCTGGCGACACTCAAGGACTTGGGCAGAGCAAACTGGAGACAGAGGTGGGACACCAGTTCAATGGCAAAAATCTAGGAGACAAAGCAAATTAAATGAAGAATTTAAACAGGTTATAATTTTAAAAATTCTCATAGGTAACCTACATGCCTGTATTTAGCGCAGGCCATGTTCAGACATGTCTAAAGCTACATCTACATCTTTACCAACTGCAAATACGTGGACACATGCTAATGATAGCCATAGCCACAGCTCTAAGCTTTTGGACACGGCCTTAAGAAGTGTCCAAAAGCAATGTCAAATTGGCAAAAAATGTGTCAAGTGTGTTTTTTGGTCCAAAATTTATTTTAACCCTATTCCAGTCCCAAATCCTCCAATTTCAAAACGATTTGACATATACCCTAGGGGATTAGGTTTAAAGTTCCACAGAATCATGATATGACTCAAAAAAGTTGAAACTAATTTTGATGAACCTGTTTATCAGTCTGTGGTTGGCTGAGCAGCTCTGGTATGAAGTCCAGACAAATGTGCATTGACGGGATACCAGCGACGGTGATTGGGAGCAGCTCGCTGGCATAGCCTTGGAAGTGAATGAGTTTGGCGAGGTTGGGGTCAGCGATGAACATCTGATGGAGTTGGGAACAGACCAGGCACTGAACCTCACACAGTAAACTCAGTTTGCTGGACACTTCCTGTCAGAAAATAACCAGAAAGAGAGAGAATCAAGGTTAGAAATCAGCACTGAAATCCAATC